CGCACACAAATTATCGCATCACCAATGCTTTTGAATATTTTGGCTACAGTAAATTTATTTTTAAAATTTCTTAGGTATTCCCTGAATGGGCATTCTATAACTGAAAAACTCGAGTCAAAAAACATGTCGCTTCTTCTTTTGTTAGGTTCTTGTTTACTTTTTTCGGGAAAATGCGGATAGGCATACATTCCACTTTGCAATTATGCTGTTCATTTCTGTGTTTTCTGCTTTGATGCGATAATTTTTGTGCGGTGTATATTTGTCGATAAGTGTGCACTGAGTGCTCTCGCATCTTTTTCTAGAAGCATGTAAAATATAAGGAGAACGATACATTTTTTTATGCACTGATTATGAAAATGGAAATCGCTATCAGACTATCAGCTATTTTCTTAAAATAAGGGTCAAATTATGGACCGACTGTTAAACGTCTGGTTGTTACCTAGCAGGTAGGTACTTTCTATTCTCTAGAGCATAGAAAGTACCTGCTAGGTATAACAACCAGACACTTACCAGTTGGTCCATAATTTGGCCCTAAGTCAGAAAGTGGTCAGATCGTAAGCAGCTATAAATACACTACTTTAAGGGGCATACCTACACACGTTAACAATTTATCACATATTATAATATAGATATTTAATAAACATGTTTGTTATTTTATTTTCAACCGTAGGTATAATGTAATATTAACATTACAGACTTTTTAAAATCTTGAAAGTGTCACATTTCTGTCCTTTTACATCTTTTCGGGACGGCAATGATTATGCCTGCCATGGACGGAAAATGCGTTTCCGTCCTGATTTCCCTGCTTGTTTTTTGTCAGATATTTGTCAATTCTTTAAGACTGTCAAAATTGATGACAATGACAAAAGAAAGTGGAGACTGATTTCGTACAATAAAATCTTTGAGTTTTTGCCTCAGAAATTGTGGGTTGAAAATAAAATTGTATACAAACCTCGACGGAAAACTTCATTGCTGTCTCGATGTTTATTTTATCTTGACGCTAAAGCGTCTCGATAAACTATATAACCTCTTGACCAGCAATAAAGCATTTTCCGTATCGAATTGTAATATACTAGCTAGTAGCTGGGTTCGGTAATTGCATATGGCGAGCAAAATGAGCAAAATTTAACAGATGCCACGTGATTTGACACGTGAAAAGAGATAAGTCAACAAGTGACGTCTGTCAAATTTTGCTCATTTCGCGCGCAGAAACAATTACCGAACTTAGGCCACTATTTCTTACCCGAACCAAACTTCCGAAGCAAAATTGAACCAATGACTTATCCAGTAAAGAACCATCAAATAAACCTTCATCTTTAAGACGCTGAAACATATTCATCCAAAACTGTGCATGATGTTTACGAAGAATACACCACCAATATTCGATTCTTTGATTGTGTGTGCTTCTGCCATACAGATGTGGGGGTCTTGATGTCGCTGCTGCTTCTGTTGCGAATAATTCTCTTAAAGGGCACTGCATTTGTTCGACTGTCTTATTTTCTGTTCCCATATCGGACCGTATCGTTTTTGGGCATCCACCAACGGCAACAACTAGCTTTATCGCATTAGCAAAATATCCAGCAATTACCTAAAAAAGTAAAAAAATTTCACCACAACAAATATCTGAGCGTGCAATAGTTTCTAAGGGATGGATAACCAAAGATTTAACTTTAATGTTTTGGAAATAGTTTAATTAAAGAATAGGTGAAATTTTAGAACGTAAAATATCTACCGGGTGTTCTAAGAAAGTGACTCGCCCGTATGCGGTTCATAAGTATTTTACATTAATATGCATTATTTGACATATTCAATTAATTTCTGTCACTTCCGGTTTGACCGGAAACCATGCACCCAAACTTCCTTATTTTAAATGAAACACCCGATATATTTTTACTTATTTTGATACAAAATGACTTTCTGCGTTCAATGTCACCAACATCTCATTTGTCACTTTTCGACAGCTAACCTCAGAATAATTTAAATTTCCAATATCCAATCTGAGGGCTATAAATTTGTTGAAACGGCTAATTTTTGGTCATATACCCGAGGAAAAATGGATTAGATCGTTCTTTCTTTCTAAAGGTACGTTTCCTATGAAGCGACGGACGCACGCGGCTGACGGACTGCGTCTGACGCAAGCCTATTCACGCAGTCCGTCAGCCGCGTGCGTCCGCCGCTTCATAGGAAACGTACCTTAAAACTGTGTACAGATACATTTGAAATTTTGAAAATCGTATTATTGGCCTAAACCCATCTTTTTCAAATGGAACTAGGGTGGCTCATTAGAATAGCTGGAAAGAGTAATTTACTGAGAATAATTTGATACCACACAACCGGTATTTTAATTATATATTTATTTCAAAAAATAACCAGATTAGGTGTCATTGAACGCAGAATGTCATTTTGTATCAAAATAAGTAAAAATATACCGGACATCCAATTTAAAATAAGGAAGTTTGATGGGTGCATGGTTTCCGGGTTTCGGTTCAATACACCCATTTATACATAATCCATATGGCTTTAATTTATCATAGGAATCTAAATGCCAAAGAAAATTTGGGCCATTGCTGTAGTATTGCCTGCGTCGTAATCGCTTTCTACTTCGTAGGTCAACTCTTTCCGGATCCAAAACCTGTAGTAACTCTCTAACTACCTCCTGTGTTACAGTTAAGTTATGCTGAATACACCTGAGGTGCATCCACAAATTTGGGCAATTACATGGATATAGTAATTGCCCAAATTTTTTTATTTCCCTTTCAAGAATTCGCACAACGTCTTCAATTGGGGAGAAATTTATTCTTCGGAAAAGACGCAAATTAGACAATTTACGTTTAAGAGTTCGTAAGGGCATTCTTATATTATGAATATGTTTTAGAAATGCCAGAATTTCTTCATGTTGATATCCAAGCGAAAAGTTCTTTTCAATGAGGGTGTTATTAACTTCTACCTAAAATGAAATAAAGACAAATAGAAAAAGGTAACACGTGTTATTATTCTAAAAACTACATCCAGGCAGTTCCACTACCTTATACCCCAACTAAAGACCAAAAGGTGAAAATTTATAATCGGATTTTAAATTGCACAATTTTTTGAACTTCATGTTTGACTGAACCCTACTCCTGAACATGCATTTAATGGAGAGGTATCTATAAACAACAATACTTACCTCGTCTTCGGAGTCACCCATAGCAAATTGTAGAGAACGTACTGCAACACTAAAACTACGAAAAACGAATGGAGAAGTAATTTCTTATTTCTTCCAAAACGCAGACTAAACACAGTGCGACTGAAGTAAATCGAAAGATGCTGTTTATACGCATTTAATATTCCGACTTATAAGTCAGAATTCCGACTTATAAGTCGGAATCATCTTATTCCGACTTATAAGTCGGAATTCTGACTTATAAGTCGGAATTTAATACGGAAAAAAAATTACGAAGTGGCCCTTCTACGCTTTCGTGCATAACAAATAAATAATCAAAAATAATCCTAATTAATTTACACACAGGAAACCCAATAGGCCGCAAAATTTGTTGAATAATGAAAGAAGGTACCTACGTACCTATTCCTAGACTATTTTTTTTGGCAAAATGTTTATCTCCCAAAATTATTCAAATTAAATTTATAGCCCAAGAAATTTATACGTGGGCCGCAAAAAAATTTGCGAGGGCAGGCTGATTTTTCCAGGGCTGATTGGGGACTGCGTCTTGAGTATTGAGCCAAAAAATCACACTCGAAAGTCTTGTGCGTTCGGCCCCATTGGCCTTTTTCTTATTCATTTTTTTTCGACAAAATGACCTCCACAAAATTTGTAGATAATTAGATTATGATCAACTTTGCCTCATGACTTTTTTTGCTAGCTATTTTACTTTAGGCGTTGCGGCTATTTTAGTGCTTCAGAATTTGCAAAAAAATTAAATAGCAAACCTGCAGATTATTATACATAATAAAATTCCCTATTACTTTGCTTGATGATATTTTATTGTAACTTTATTTCTTTCGCTTGTATACGGCCTTTTAGGCATTTGAAAAATTTTATTTTGATCTGGTGGACATTGTGGCATGCATAGCGTAGCGTTTCTAAAGATTTGACACATTTTGCAGGTAAAATGTGGCGTTTCGCGAAATTGAATTTCGCGGATGGTTGCCAAAGAGCTATTTGTGTATCAAATTAAGAGCGCAAGGTGATAGGTGATACTTTGCAGATCGAAAGATATTGTTGATTGATATTGGCAAATATCTTGAGATCGGCATATGGCACTTTTTGCTCGTAATGCACACTTAATTTTTTTGGGTAGCAAGATTTGTTTTAATGTTTGACGTAGACTTTACAAAACATTTGTAACGCAAAGAGTCCAGGGAATCTTCCTTCATGCTCCCTCCAAACAAAGGAATCATTACACGCTCTCCTGCAAAGGCCACTGTTTGAGGATCGCATATTTTCCTACAGAAGGACGATATGAAGTTTTCCAGCGAGGGCTCTCTTTCAACTGTGGATATTAGTTTTCCCTTACCCACACCAAACAAGTAGGATGTGGTATCGCATCCACTGGAGGCATGAAAAAACACATTTTGCAGATGCCTGAAAGGTCGTACAAGCCAAAAAAATAAGGTGTCAATAAAATATCATCAAGCAAAGTAACAGAGAATGTTATTATGTACAATAATCTGCAAGTTTGCTATTTAATTTTTTTGCGAATTCTGAAGTACTAAAATGGCCCCAACGCCTAAACTAAAATAGCTAGCAAAAAACGGCATGAGGCAAAGTTGATCAGAATGTAATTATCTACAAGTTTTGTTAAGGTCATTTTGTTGAAAAAAAATAAATAAGAAAACGACCAATAGGGTCGAACGCACAAGGCTTTCGAGTGTGATTTTTTGGATCAATACTCAGAACACAGTCTCCAATCAGCCCAGAAAAAACCAGCTTGACCCATACATTTCTTGGGCTATTGGGACAATTTTATTCCTAGGAAAAAAAATAAATAAAAATACACAAAATTCTGTGAAGGAGTAGCACATATTTATTTATCTTTTTATATATACAAATTCAAAAGGGGGGGATTATATAAAAAAAAATTGTTCACAAACAAACAATACAGTTATTATGGTAATTAATGGCGATTTAAGTACAAAAAAAATTGGTTTTGGAATACATATTACAGGACGGCCACGCACACACAAAAATATGGCATCGGTTTTCTCGTATACCGTCCCAAAGATGTCTATAAAAATATCGTTATACAACTAAGTCTAAGTACGTCCTAAAAACTAAAAACTCGTTACAATCACTAAAAAAAAAAATTTAACAAGAAAAAAAAAACACACTCACGCACGTAATAAAACACATTTATACAAGGAATTAACTCGATAAAATATTATACATATAATAATAATAGTAAAAAGGATCAGGAACAAAAACAATAAAAGAAATTGCACAAAGAAACATGATTTAGAAAAAATACAGGGTGTTCAATGATCAATACTACATTCATATCATAATATAGAAAAGTCCCTGTTTTCAAAAAGTCTTTCAAACGTTCTCTAACAATATTTTGTCTAAGCCTACAAAGATTTTTTTGTATAAAACGTCCACAAAGTAAGAGAGTATGAAAATTTCATTTTTATTAAGCAGTCTAAGATTTTCTTTGAGTAAATCACATGGGAAAAGTTTCATACATTATTATTTGTTGAAAAACTAGAATAATATTTTCTACTACCTAATGTAGAAAAATATTATTATTTTTTTTGTGTGTTTTTGAGGGGTGAACTTAACCATTTTAGACCTTAAAAAGTGCTTCAAAGTCTTATCTTCACAATGACGGACTAGCTCACTTTGATTATAAACTAAAAATATAATTATATCACAAGTATAGTGAAAAGAAAACTTTTTTTTTTACGGGAAACCCAAAATATTATCTTACTGGAACGGTTTTTTTTTAGAATAATATTATTGTTCGTTTCTACCCTATAGTAATAATATATTTAGCTTATCATTTTGAGATCTTTTGGTTTTCCCAAATAAAACGCGTTTTTTTTTTTTAATCAGGTACCTCCCTGTAAGGTACCTCACTAGTAACATTAAAACGTTCAAAATAGTGAGTGAGAAATTCAAATGTCGGTCTAGTCTCAGGAATGGTGTCCCAAGTTTTCAACATTATCTGATAGATTTCGTCTGGCAAATTATGCGACGAAGGTTTTGGCATCCTATAGCCTTGCTCTACCAGCTCTATCACTTCTCTACCGTGCATTCCCCGGATAGGGGACTTGTCCGTACGTAAACAATTCCATAAGCAATATTCCATAAGACCAAACGTCGGACTTTATGGAAAATTTACCGTAAACTATCGCCTCGGGCGCGGTCCACTTGACAGGAAAATGACCGCCCTTTTTCGGACAATACTCGTTATCTTCGATGACTCTGGCCAAACCGAAATCGCATATTTTGGCGATATTGTTTTCGCCGATCAGGACGTTTCTGGCCGCCAAATCTCTGTGGATTAATTGTTTGGACTCCAGGTATTCCATGCCCGAAGCCACTTGGAAAGCTATGTAGATCAAGTCTTCGAATTCTAGCAGTTTGCCTTCGTCTTTACGTAGGAAATCTAATAAGCTACCTTTGGACATGTACTCTTGGACTATGTAGATGGGTTCTTGTTCGCTACAAACTCCATAAAGAGCCACCTAGAGGGAGATTTTTTTTAAAATAATTATATGAAATTTCTATTTAGTGATAATTCTTACCAATCTTTTGTGCCGGAATTTTTTCATAATGGCAGCTTCTTGGAGGAAGGCCTGCGTGGACATGGTACCTTCTCTGAGCGTTTTTACTGCCACCTCGAACTGGTTCTTCCATTTTCCGTACCAAACTTCTCCAAAATTACCACGACCCAACCTAAATTGATATTAGTTTAGAAAAATGAGAACTGCTAGGTTTTGGTCCAATGAAATATTCGGATTTGGTTAGGTTGCAAGTTACCCTACTTTGGACAGTTTTCTTATTGGTTAGGAAAAAAAATACTTTTGGCATTAAAGGCCATTTGATTCGCTAGATTTTAAAATTAAATTCGTTTTTATTCTCGTTGGTTGGTCAGCAATGGGCACTGGATTATCAAAATTTATTGGAAATGAAAATATATTACAGTGTGTCCCATTTTGGTTGTACATAAGGAATATCTCAGTTGCTATTGGAATTAGCAGGGTGCGGTTTTCGCGAACGTTGGCTACTTTTCTGTTAAACGAAAGATGCTGTCAACCATTTTCCGTTGTTTAAATACAAGGTGTTTTTGAAAATGTTGTATTTTGGGACACCCCTTGTATCTCAGTTCTCTCATAAGTGATTGAAAAAGTGACAACGAATTCTAATAGATCTTTATACGTAGATTCCAGTGGCAAAGTCAGTTTTTCTCTAAAGGTGACAGTTTTTAAATTATAAATCAAATCTATGTTTTTTCGAATAAGACACCCTGTAAAATAATAGCTCATTAGATAGCGTTGCTTTTGCTGATTTCAGTGATATAAAGTTCGATAGGTTTATTTCTATCTGTCTATTTTTGTCATAAGAACAATGTATCAGAAAAGGACTTTGCATCTGTAAAGAAAATGAGAAAGGTCTCTTTCTAACACATTGTTTCTCATGACAAAAACAGAAAAAGGAAATTCTCGAAAATTGTTAAACCCTCGGATAAACCTATTGAATTTTATATCATTGAAATCAGCACAATCCGAGCTATCCAATAAGTTTATAATATACAGGGTGTCCCACCGAAAATCAAATCAATCTATATACGAAAAACTGTAGGCAGAAAATTTTTGAGAATTTGACAGCATACTAAAGGTCAATGGGGAAAACCTGGCTAAAATATTGTTAAGATGGTGGCACTTCCGGTTATACCGGAAGTAGACGTTAACCTGCTCATTTCAAATGAGACACCCTGTATGTGATTACATATTTGGATTCTACATAAAATTCTGAGCAGATTTTATGTGTATACTCTATACCTAAGTTCAACTGTTTTGGAAATACTGACAGTTGAAAAATTGACTTTTTACAACTTTGATAGGCTGTAAAACTTGAACAGTTAATTTTAGAGGAAAACCGATAAATTTAAAGTTGATGTCAAATGATAGTTTATAAAAATCTAAGATAGGAATGTAAAATAGGTTTTCCTCTAAAATTAACCGTTTAGGTTTTACAGCCTGTCAAAGTTGCAAAAAGTAAATTTTCAACTGTCAATATTTCCAAAATAGTTAAACCAAGGTATAGGGTATATCATTACCACATGAAATCTGCTCAGAATTTTACGTAGCATCCAAATATATATTCACATACAGGGTGTCTCATTTAAAATGAGCAAGTTGACATTCACTTCCAGTATAACCGGAAGTGCCACCATCTTGAAAATATTTTAGCCAAGTTGCCTACATTAACATTAATATACTGTCAAATTTTCGAAAGTTTTGTGCATACAGTTTTTCATATATAGATCAATTTGGTTGACACTCTATCTATGACTTCATAGTTAAAAATAATCGATTTTTCTGATTTCAAATATGTATAGTTTAACTACTTTTAATTGAGCCGTTTTGGAAATATTGGTCTCTAAACTTCAAGAAAATAATACATTGCAACACATCAGGGATATGATTTTCGAAACCATTCGAGTACATTTCGTATACAAAATTTGATACAATTTCGAATGCCCCCCATTTAATTTGCTGCCAGTCAAATTTCGTGTACGAAATTTACTCGAATGATTTCGAAAATCGCACCCCAGGTCTGTTCCAACCGACATAAGAACCGTTCTAGAATGGTAATTTCCAGTCGATCAATTCATTTGTCAATTAAGATAAACATTCAACTTATTGAAAAATAGATGGGCAACTGGAAATTACCGTTCTAGGTTCTCATATCGGTTGGAACAGAACTGATGTGTTTCAATGTATTATTTTCTTGAAGTTTAGACCCCAATATTTACAAAACAGCTCTATTACAAATAGTTAAACCATATACAGTTCAAATCAGAAAAAACTATAAAGCATACATAGGGTGTTTCATAAGAAAAAACAGACCATCTGTCAAAATTTGACAATTCTGTAAAAACAAAAAAGTTTTTGACATCGGATTCAAAAATTTCAGGTAAAACCCCCAAACTTTTGTATTTTCAATTTTTTGATATCTCTTCACATAATCCCTGTAGTGAGGGGGTTAATATATGGGAAAAGACCCTGTACAACTAGAATGATATACACTGTACAGGGTGGTCCACTCCACTCTGGCTCAAATTCCATGGAAACTTGATTGATGCAAACCAGATTTTTTTTAAAGGTTTTTTAAAGCTTCATACGAGCTACAATTCCTAAAAATTTTGTTTCACTATTTCTTACAGATTTCAAGATCTTGAAGCTCAGAGACTTTGAAATAAAAATCCAAAGGAAGGGGGGGCATTCTTTGACCACCCTGTATACGGGTTGCCTAATCAGAGACAAACTTACCCTCTGATCAATTGAATTTCATCTCTGGGAATCTCCCATTTATCCCTGTAGGTAGGCGCCAGATCCCACATGGTGGGTTCCGGTTTTCTACATGGTTTAGACAAGACATGGCACAAACCATAAGCATTTTCTACAAACACAATCATAAAAAATCAACTAAAGACACAATACACTAGATACTCACTGCTGTAAGCCAAAACCAACTCGGGCAAAGAATCATAAGTCTTATTAGTGGAAATATAAAACCCTCCATTATCCAAAGGTTTGACTTTGTAATGTTTGACGTGATATCCTCGGTGCACTTCCCAGTCTTTCACCGACAACGAGTAACCGTCTGGATTGTGCTCAGAAGGGCGGATCAGAAACGTACCTCTGGGTTGCTGCTCATCGCCCAGCAGCAACTTTTCAGCCTCTTTACGAGAAATATTCTCGAAAAACCAATCTTCACTTTCCACACTGAGCTCGGTCGCCACGAAATTACCAGGAATGTAACCTTTACGACCGGAAATCAGATGTTCGACAAACAACCAATCGCGGTCGGACTCGTCCTGGACTTCCATGCGGTCGCCCTTGCTGAAGGACAAGTCTTGGGAATCTCTGGCTTCATAGCTGTAAACGGCCACCACGATTTTCGGTTTTGTGGGGGTGATTGGGGTTTGGGGCTGTTGCTTTAGAGGTTTCACAATAACTGTGGGCGTTATGTGTGGGTGCCGCACTTCTGTTACTGTTGGTGGTTTAAAAGCTGTTGGACCTGGGAGAACATAAAAAATCAGAGTAAATAATCAATTTAAATTGCAGACAGATTGTCAATGTGCTCAACAGTTGGTACAAGCATACACTTTTGCAAGATAGTTTTCAGCTTATTCTGGTTGTTTATTGATATTATTGTTTATTTATTATGTACTAAGTTAGTTTATTTAATGGGAATTCCATGCATCATTAACCTATTAATACATGGAAGACACAAACAAGCGGTTCATTATATAAGACGGTTTTAAAAATATCAAATTACTAGGGGCGATATCTCACAAGTTGATTGGTAAAAATAGGTTGAAGGCTCGGGTAATTAAGCGCATTATCTGTCAGTGAGTAAGTGATCAAAGACATTGGAAAATATTATTCTCAAGAGCTTTATTTTGTGAATTATTCAAGTATTTACTAATATCTTCTTTACAAGGCCTCTATTTCGGAATTTCTAATTCAAAAACTACTGAGGGCGCAAAAATGAAATTTTGAGAATCTATTCTTGAAGGTTTGAGGTTAAACAAACATACTAAAAATTCAAGGAAATCGAACCGCTAATAATAAAATTATGAATTTCCTAAATTAGGCCAAAATAAACATATTGACAAGCTTCTATTTTGGAATTTCTAACTCAAAAATTACTGACGGCGTAAAAATGAAATTTTGTGAACGTATGCTTGAAGGTTTCAGGTAAAATATACTAAAAATTCAAGGGAATCGAATTGCTAATGAAAAAGTTATGAATTTTCTAAATTAAGTAAAAATACAGACTGAAAAGCTTCTGTTTCGGAATTTCTAACTCAAAAACTAAAATTTGATAGAGTGGTGAATTCCAACATTTCCAGCTTATACAGGGTTTTCAAAAGAAGTTTGAATAAATAAAAATCAAAAAAATGAGAAACCTCCACCCAAAATCCCCAGTTTTCAACTCTATACAACGTACCTATTCAAAAAAAGTTGAAAATTTCCAAAGTTGCAAAATATTGCATGGAAAGAAATCCTCAATTTCGAAATAATAATAATAATATTTATTTATTCACTTATAAAAATTTACATGGGTTTCAAAATAATACATATTATTTAATAATTATTCAAAACGGCACCTAGATGACCTAACATCTGTATGTGCGGGTGAAAAAGTATAAAAACTACTAGATAATTTCAATAGCCTCCAACTTTTCAAAGACACTCTGTATAGGGAAAATATGTTTGGATCTTTATGGAGATTTGTGTTGTTTTGCTCTATTTTATGTTAATTGAAAATTGGTTCCTTACCTGGTTTGTATTTGTGGTCAGGCGGGGCACCACAGCAGCGGCAAATGTTCCCCATGGTACCCGCTCAAATTGACGTCACAAGCCGTTTCTCGATTGAATTTTTGTCATCGCCCTGCAAATAACCAAAACTCAATAAATAAATAAATAATATACACGAGGACCTGTGGGACGAGTAACCGAAACGCGACAGGAAATGTGAAGTTTTCGCATCTGTTGCATACTAATTGGATATAAATGGCACCGGCTAGCGAATAGAGGTATTCGAATGCAGCGGTTCTTGGTATTTCGATACCTAGACTGACCGGAGGATTAGGATTTTTCGACGTCACTGTTTTTAGCAGTAATAATAATTAATGGGGTTTATTTATACTTTTATAATCTCATAATTTTAATCTTTTAATTATTTCCTATATCAAATCAAATATATAGCTAACAAACAAATAAAACAGGTCCTAAAACAAACACATTTCCAGTGAAAATCCCTTTTCAAGTGCCCTGGCTTTACTCCAACCGGAACAAAGGGATTCCCTAAAAATATCGATCATTTAATTCGGCAATAGGGGTTGCACTGTGGAGAATCGCTTTTAGGACCCCAATTCTCATAAAAATTTACAAAAGTTCATTGTAATTAAATAGTGCAAGAGGAATTTTAGACGCAGAACTATGATTGAAAAATGTAAAATCATTAAAGTATGTGTATTTTAAACAATTTCATTCGTCCTTGTTTGGCCTCCTACAATAGAAAAAGCAATTATTTCTTCGTTAATTGACTTTACTTGTACTTTTGTTGGTAACAACGGACTGGATTTTCATTGTACAACAGTAACCTCTTTATTCTTGAAGAATTCAATGATTTGGGCCAAGTTTAACTAAAAATGAGCTTCATTGTACTTACATTAAAAATCATCAGAAATTATTTCCGGTTATTTCTCTTTTTTGTCACATAAAACACACCCAACAATAAGTTGTTTTTCTAATTGAATAATTTCTACGAGAGAGTAATTGAAATTCCACATTACTGATAATAGATAATCCAGGATTAGTTGATAACTTTAGAATATGTGGATTAATTTATAAAGCGAAGTTTATTGCATGACAATGGTGGATAATTTTTATTCGCATACAAATGTTTTTATATAATTTACATTGATTTCTAGTTGTTTGATGTTATCATGAGGAAAAAGTAGAATCATTTGAAATAAAGTGTCCAGAAAATCCTATCTTTTCTCTCCAATGAAGTTTGAATTATCTATAGCAAACTTTTATGAAAGTCTTCAAAACAAATAAAAGCCCCTAATTTCGGACAAGCTTTAATTTGAGAATTATTATTATTGAATGCAAAATAAATTTCCCTTCTATTTGAATTTCTAATAATAGACAAATCAAGAAGCTTGGTCCCCCTTGGTACACTTTAACAAGACAACTCCCCAAGCATTGGAATTGTTTTCTCACCCTTGGGAATCGAGTTTGAGTCAAGCCCCCTCTTTATAAGTGAGCATCATGGATTAAGATAAAGGAAAAAGCTTTTAGATTTCCAAAGTGTGTTTTGGTTATTTTTAGGAGAAAAAATCTTGCATTCGATTTTTTTTGAAATTTTATAAAAACCTAATGTGAATAATTCTTGAGCCTATATGTCTTGCAACATGGGGAAATTGGAAACCTTACAATTATTATAATTATAATGCCAAATTCGTCTTTGAGATATAAAAGTTTTCTCTTCTTCCAAGAGTTTGATATTTGAATTTCCTCTTCAAGTTCATATAAATGATATTATAGATTATGTATTTCGTTCAAAAATTTTCTTATCTTTCTTTTAGTCCCTAGCACATAACATGTAATGTACATACAACATCTAATTAATGTCAAAAAGAATTTGTTTGTTCTATTTATAATTTTTTGTCTCAATTTTTGTCTATTCCAGGCTCTTGAATTTTCTGTCACTTCTAATATATGAATTTACCTAATTTTTTTTACGTCGGGCCATGGAACCTGGAATAAACTAAAATTGAGATGGAAAAAATGGGAATAAGCGGCAAAAAATGGTTTAATTTTTTTCTTATATTGAGATTTATTTTAGGACCTCCCAACCTCCAAACAAATTGAAAAATCCCAAATTCCTTAACGCGATTATCAAGAACTATAAGTCCAAATCCAATTAAAAACACTTTGAAGCAGAGGTGGATACAGGCCTTTTAAAAAAGTGTGGAGGCAGTTTAAGTTAAAGTAAGTCAGATTGGGTTAGTTTTGGCAGCGCATTGTGCAAGATACGGTTTTTCGAAGGAATGGCCCATAAAAATATGGGAATGGGCCGGGGAAACTATTTAGGAGAATAAGGTGATTTTAAATAGGTAGGTAGAGGGTGTTTTTTTTTATATATTGACACTCCACCTATCAACATTTACCTTTACAGGTAAAAGAAAAGGTGTAAATACAAAAGTTGTACAATTTGGGCTGAATTTTTAGAAACCATGGTCAGAAACAAAATTTGAATGTCAGAAATGTGAAATTTTGCATGCTTCCAGCTTTTTTTAAATGGGATGCCCTATATTTCATTCTATATTCTTGAAGAGCACAATGCCCCGATTCTAAAAATATATAGTTTGTCTATATTTGATTGAACAGTCTCTCATATATTCGGCTCCAAAAATTGTAAAAATACTATCCTACAGTCTGTTTTTTTTTTAAAAAGATAATTCCCCAAGTCAAAAATTTAGTATGTTGGCAAAACAAGCCTTTTCTACATAACAAATTTGAAAGCACTGACAATTATACATTGTATTGTCAACATAATGTCATTTTGACTTCTTTAAAAAAAACAGACTTTACTGATTTTGTGAACCATTCTACCTATACATTTTGGAGACGGCTCAACCAAATATAGACAAACTATATAGTTTTGGAATCGGGAAATTGTGCTCTTCAAGAATATAGAACCAAATATAGGGCATCCCATTTGAAAAAAGCTGAAAGCATGCAACGTTTTACATTTCTGGCATTCAATTTTTGTTTCTGACCATGGATTCTAAAAATTTAGCCAATAATACTGTACAACTTTTGTATTTACACCTTTCATCTACTTGTAAAGGTGAAGGCTGTAGGTGGGGTATCAATATATAAAAAAACACCCTGTACCCTGTACTTATTAAATAAAATCAGAATTTGTAAGATTATCCATTTTTTGTCAATTTGCCTTTCAATAGGAATTAGTAATGTTATTTTACTAAACTAGTAACATAATGTGACAAGTTATTCAAGTACAAACGGGTGGATTTATTTATTAATACGTTGTTCAAATACGATACTAACCTGACTCACTCAAATGTCAGTTATTTTCATTAGTTCAAAAACTACAAGTTTCAGGTGAGTGTCTTATTTGACTAGTTCAATAGTATATTGGTGAGTTAATGGTTGCGGAACTCGCTGCGCTCGTCCCACAGAGGTCCACCCATAAGTTCCGCAATAATCCACTTATTTGTACAGGGTGTTTCAAATTCGAGCCACATCATTGGGATCTGGGAAACGGTAAGATATACAGGGTTGGTTAAATGGGGGCAAAGTTGCGTAATTTGATGCTTAACAAAATGCCGCTTTGATATTTAGGATATTCCGAATACTTCCGGAGATATCCGGAAAAAACCGAAATTTTGCAAAATTGTTTTTATTTTTTCCTCACTTTATTTGAAGTGATATTCCAAAAAAAATATAACATCATTATTGCTACTTTTTCTTGCCTACAAGATGCTACCATCAAATTTATAATCTGACGTTTCGTCTTTGGGCCACCATCATCAACTCTATTTTTTTAAATACGACCCTGGATTTTTTATTTCAGATTTTTAGTGCTTCTGATGTCCCAAAACCTATGACGTATCGCATTTATTCGAAAAAATATTTTTTCTATTTTTTAGTAATTTCCTACCAAAATTATCTTCTCTGTCTCTCTCTAACACATTTGGTTCTTATGGAAAGTACCAATAATATAAATTTTTTGAATAAGTGCAATACGTCATTAGTTTTGGGACATCAGAAGTTTGTAAAATCTAAAATAAAAAATAAGGGTCCGTATTTAAAAAAATGAAGTTGATGATGGTGGCCCAAAGACGAAACGTCAGATTTCAAATTTGATGGTAGCATCTTGTAGGGGAGAAAAGGTAGCAATGATGAAGTGACATTTATTTTGCAATATCACTCCAAATAAAGTCAGGAAAAAATAAAAACAATTTTGCAAAATTTCGGTTTTTTCCGGATATCTCCGGAAATATTCGGAATATCCTAAATATCAAAGCGGTATTTTGTTAAGCATCAAATTACGCAACTTTGCCCCCATTTAACCAACCCTGTATATCTTACCGTTTCCGAGATCCCAATGATGTGGCTCGAATCTGAAACACCCTGTACTTGAACAATAACTTATTATGTAAAGTCAAAATTTGTAAGATTATGATTATTCCTCGAATTACTCACTTTTTGTCAATTTGCCTTTCAACAGGAATTAATAATGTTACTTTACCAAACTGGTAACATAATGTGACAAGTTTTTCAAGTACAAATAAGTGAATTGGTGCGGAACTTATGGGTGGACCATCTATTCATCAATATGTTGTTTAATTACGATACTAAACTGACTCACTCAAATGCACGTATTCTCATCAAGTTCAATAGTATATTGGTGATTAGATAGCTGCGGAACTCGCTGCGCTCGTCCCGCAGAGGTCCACCCATAAGTTCCGCAACAATCCGCTCATTTGTACTTGAATCTTTTCACTCAAGGAAATCGGTGTACAAATTCCTGGGAATACTTGGAATTAGCCAGAAATACTTGGAAGTATCTAGAAATACTTTGAAAATAGCTAGAAATGCTTAGAAATATTTGGTAATACTTGGGAATACTTCGAGGAATACCTAGATATACTTTAAAATACTTGGTAATACGTGCTAAATGATGTGAGAAAAGAGTTTGTTTCTGAGCTTCCTGAGCGCTGCTTCTTCTCATAAATTACATACTTTTTTTGAATTTTTACAGTGCCAGTTTGTTTTATTTGATTGTGAGAATCTCGGATTATTCAAAAAAGAGGTCAAAAAGCAGTAATAACAAGGATAATAAAAAATCTTGTCGAAGTAAATTGGTAAGAAAGTCTGCATTATGTTGGTATTTTAATGCTAATAATAGCAGACTTTCTACTGACCGTATTTGTAGAGTTTAAGAGATGGGATACCACGAATAGTCAAAATCTAGAAAAACAGTTTTTTCTAGAGTTTATAGCGGATCTTTGATTAAATCTTGGAAAGTATTAAAATTCCTCGCAAAAGAATTCCTTACAATGAAAAGTTATAACTCCTCTAATTCATCGTGGTGTTTTGATTCTGAAAACTTTTCTTTAAATATTTTGATGAAGATTGGTATGTAAGCAGACTTTTGAGAATGACTAAAAAATCCTGTAACATAAAATTTTTAAATTGAAATTTAGACAATTTGGAATGGCCTTTGAGAGAAGATAGTAGAGCGATTGAGAATATTATTTTTTTTGGTCCTATCAGCCCATTCAAAGGTAGAGGTATTTTGAGTTTCCTCTACTTTCAGTATACAATGCAGTGGTGACAAAGTGAAATTTAGCCTATTGTTAAAATTAAATTAAATTAGCTAATAGGTAAAACTTTAAAATATTAACAGAATACTTGGAAATACCTGGAAATACTTGAAAATACTAAGAAATATGTACCCAGAAATATTTTGAAATACTAGGGAATATTTGGAAATACTAATTAGAAATACTCGAAAATACATGGAAATACCGTGAAATGTTAAGAAAAATGAAAATTCGTGTACAAATTTTGGTAGGTGAAAAGCCCCTCATCATCCACTTTTTGTCAATTCGCCTTTCAACAGTAATTAATAATGTTACTTTACCAAACTAGTAATATATTGTGACAATTATTCAAGTACAAACGAGTGGATTGTTGCGAAACTTATGAGTAGACCTCTGCGGGACGAGCGCAGCGAGTTCCGCAGCCATTTATTCATCAATATGTTGTTTAATTACGATACTAAACTGATTTACTCAGTTGATAATTTTTCCTATTAGTTCAAAAACTACACGTTTCAGGTGAGTGTCTTATTTGAACAGTTCATCAGTATATTGGTGAATAGATGGCTGTGGAACTCACTGCGCTTGTCCCGCAGAGGTTTATCGATAAGTTCCTCAATAATCTACTTATTTCTCGGGTTCTACTATAAGTTAGACAAGGAGATGAAAAAATCTATTGACTAACTCATAGTGTAACGCCCTGTACATATCTAAATATTAAAAAAAAGTATAATGGTTTTAGACTCGGTTTTGGACCAGGTTTCAGATCTCTCTTGAAGCATATTTAATAGATTATAGATTGTTAAGCTGAATTTTTAAGGTATATTTGGTGAAATTTAGTATTTTCTGGTATTCTTGGTATTTTTGGTATTTTACGACGGTATTTTTGGTATTATATGTCAAATATTATTTTGGAAGCAAACAGCTTCTGCCAACTAAACTTGGACGTGGATTACTTTGTTTACTTGATGGGCCGTGGATTTCCCTTTCTTTTGCGGGTATCCTTTTTGATTTTGTGTATCCAAATTATTTGACAAATGTACGATTTGATGGAAACTTATGGAAAAACACATCCGCCAGTAAATAGGAATTATTTTTATAAACAGGCACACTACACACAATCACCATTCTTAGGAAAAAACTTTGAAAAAACCAAGGAAATAATAGTTTCCAGTCTCCACACGTATAAAAGTCTTGTCAACAATAAACCACTGTCAACGGCTGCTCTTCATGCTCTTTTGGCATCTGACAGTCTGACGCCAGAGTCCTTATTCTTGAAACAGGGGAGCAACGATGAGAAAGATAGAACACTCGTTCTCCTGAAAACGCTGCTCCTCTGTTTCAAGAATAAGGACGCAGAGAGAGAGAGGCTTCTAAATTGAAAAGGTCAATTATTGAGGTTAGGTCAATTATTGAGGTTAGCTCAAATACGTCAGGGTCAAACCGCGTTCAGTAAATTGATGATTTGATTATCTGTCACCCACAAGCGGCGCGCGCAGCACAGGTAAAATGAGAAAGGTCCATTACATCAGGATCGGATTGAAATTAAACAAGTTGTGATTGAAAATGTGTGTCAATGTCATTTTGAAAAAACTCAAACTTCCAAAAAACAACATAGAATATTTTATTTTATTTTTTTTTTGAGGAAAATTTTGCAAGGATTGGATTGAAATTTTGCAAATGGAGAGAGAAAAGATTGAAATTTATGAAAAAAAATTGAAAATTTCGTTCCGCTCATTTACCTTGACAAAAATCCAAGTAAAAACACTTTAAAGCTTCACAGCTTGAAAACTATTGAGGCAGCATTGAAACTACCTAATAGAGATTTGTAGAGAATTCAATTTTCCTTAATTCAGGCCTAATTACATCAGGATCAAATTAAAATTACCAAAGTTGTGAGACAAAATGTATATTATAGTAATTTTTCAAAAAACAACATTGGGAGATGTTTTATTTTATTTATTTTTCAATTTGAGTTGAGCTTTGACTGTTAATTTTTAATAGGTATAAATATTTGTATTCCAATCCAAAATCCAAGTTTTGGAATAAAACAAAAATATGTATTTGAAAAAAAATATATACCTAATAAAAGAAATGCAAAGAAAAAAAAAAGAATAGGGTAAAAAAAATTAAGAAATAGGGGAAAAAATTTAAAAAAACAAATAGAACGAAACTCCTAAACCTGAGAAACATCCACCTCAATGGAAGCAGACTTAAGTTAAAAAAAAGAAGCTTGTTGTTGAATGTTGATTAAGATAAATCCTCAGGTAAATCATAAATTACAATATTTTCAATTGATGATGAGCGGCATGAGAGCTTCTACATGCATTGAGGAACAATATTGAAAATGTACAATAATTTTTTAAATTAGAAAATGAAGATGCTGTTAAAAGTCAATGAATTTTTGTATGGGATCAAGGTTCCTAAAGTTAATAGGGTGTCTGGTAATAGACACTTTAAGTTAGACAAAATACGTTAAGGCTAACGTAGGATTTGACAGCTGCGCATGCGCAGTTTCTTTCCACCAAAAATAGCGTATTACGTGTCACGTTATTTAGCGGGTCTTTGCGTGTACCTTATCCGTAAACGTTCGTTAAACCAAGTGGGCCTGAAAGCCAGATTGCCGATGTCGACCTTTGCCGAATGTATATTTTAACCTTAAAAAAAAGTTGTCATGTAATCCAAAATAATCAAAATACGAAAAATTGTTTCTAATTTGTCCTTTTCACAACAAAATTTAGAGGTTAGGACTAGGGATGTACCGGATCGGGTATTTGGCCGATCCGGCCGGAACGGGAATTCCAGCTACTAGCTGGACCGGACCGCCGGAATTCCGGCCGGATCGACAGTTTTCTGCAATTTAATAATGATTTGAAAGGGCGCATTCTTTTTTTACCGGCGAACTTACAGATGAGCAGTCTATCTCTTTCTAGTACATAGGAAATCAAGATGACTTACTCATAATGGAGAATAGCTCGATGAAAAAAAAATGAAAGCGCCTAAAGTTTGGTTATGTTTGAGTTTGGCTGCTTCCTTCAAATAAATTGGGGAATCCCCGAGTCTATCTGACAGCTGACTCAGACGCTTGTGCAAGTAAAACGTTAACGATTTTCAGTCCCAGTGTAGTTGCAGTTGTTTTGTGTTCCTGTGTATCCAACTAAGTTAAAAATGTCAAAAGTATGGTTGTTTTTTGAAATCCATACCTGAATTTAATGCTCATGTTTAAAAAAAATATTGTTATGGTTTACAACTTTAATTTTAATAAAGTTCTAACAGCCGTATGCAACATCCTCTTTTACCTTAAAAGCGCTTCTTAAAACTGTTCACTTTTAATTTTTTTTATTCTTAAACAGTGCAAATTTTTAAAAGTGACCAGTTTTAGAAAGCACTTTTAAGTTAAAAGAGGATGTTGCATATGGCTGTAAGTATTCTTTTTGCTTTCCGCTTATAAATTTATTATTACACCACACCTATTTTAAAATTTTCGAAAATTCCGGCGATCAGGCCGGATCGGCCGGATTTAGTGGTACCGCCGGAATTCCGGTACATCCCTAGTTAGGACATGATTGTGAGATATAACGTTAACGTTTACGTGAAAATTTAACTTAAACTGATTTATGAGTACCAACGATCACTCGACGCTATAGTAAAAAATAGGGTTTACCTTTAAAGATTATGTTAACGTGTTTGGTCCAACTTAGTGTCTAATGATGTATTTAGGGTGCCTTATGAAGTTTTACATTATGTTGAGGCACCCTAGATGACGTCATAAAGTTATCAGGCAACCTACTTCTCTCGTCAAATAATCTTGACTTGAGATATATTGAAAAATTGAAATTCAAACTTACCTCTAAAAACAACAAATTTGTGAAGATAATTTTTGAAAACCTGACAACTTTTTCGAGCAAGAAAAGTATGAAATTACAAGATGTCTTTTGGGTGTAAAGATAATGAGGCCTCTGAAAACAAATGTTAACCATCTGTGCTAGTTTTTTTTTTTGTATAAGATTCTAATTTAAATACATAGTTTTTTACAAGAGACAACGCAAGGCTCATTAAACACATGAAAAGTTGCTCTATCAACTAGTCTACGGCTGTCTTATTGGTCTTTTTTTTTGCATAGAGAGGAAACAATAAAAATTTAACAACCAGTTCTCCGGACTTGGACACTGTATATTGCGAATATAATCACTTTCTCTTTAATTAAAACATTATTGATTGGCTGAAGAATTCCTTACAATTTCATTACCAATTCAATAATACAATGCCCTCACATCTACATCATCCAACAATAAAATAAAAAAATTTAATACTGACCTTCTTATTGAATTCCACTTTCTAGTTTCGGGAATGTTTTTATTTGGAAATTTAATTATTAAAGAGTATTAAACTTGCGTTTATTCATACATGAAAAGACAATATTTTGGTTTTTTAGCAAAATACAAACACACTCTGCTGATCTATTGACTCACAGCCTAAGCAGCCATTTTAGTAGTAAAATTAGTTGGTTGTGGAGGGAGGAAAAAGGAATAAGCCGAATGAAATCTGCTTATTTTAGTACCGTTATTAACCGATAGATGCTATTTAAGGTGGGTTTGGCAGGTTTGGCTACAGTGACTTTAGTGTGTTTTATTTTTTACTGTCATTTCTACTTAATTCTCAATTATTATTCAATACTTTGATAGGTACTAGAACAATTTAATATGGACATTCAAAGTAAGCTTAGCTCACAAAGCCAAATCCGTGATACCTAGTTTAGATTTTCATAATCATATTCCAGAAAAACACTGCAAGTTTCCCATATTTTCCATGCGTTTACATAGTAAAACGCGCCAGTAAAGGAATTTATTTACATATTTATTTATTCACTCTTCACAAACACTAATTTTTAGTAATTACATGCAAAGGAAACTTACAACTAAGTAGATATTTGATTTACAAAAAAAAACAATACAAATGCTTGACTAGACTAGGAAATACTAACTGTAGAAAACTAAGCAATACACACGAATAAAAGAAAGCGATGTCCTGATACAACAAATCCAATATTACAAAACCACTAAAATCAGAAAATGCTTGGGGTTTCCGCGAGTATTTTTAGCTATGAGTCTTTTATGCGTACACACATTAAATGAAACTTTAAATTATACTTATAACACTTGATAAACTTCGAATTTACAATAAACTAATTGTCAGCACAAACTGAACATCATTCGTATCAGCGGCCATCTTGAAAATCCGGGATGCACGTGACGTCACAGCAATTGTGAACAAATTTAGCCGATTGAGCAATCCTGTAGAGTTTACGATTCTTGGTTTCAATAAATAACATATCTGGCAAACAAAATGGCGCTGATTCTCGCGCCGCTTTGGACCATTCGCACCAAGGATAATACACACTAAGTACTACTACAGGATAGCTTATCCTTATAAGGCCTACGTAGATCAAATCTCAAGCTCCCTACCACGCCAAAGAACCAGTGATGACCTAGGCAGCGTGTCATTCCTCGAATTGACATAGGGTGTTTGCACCACAGGTACAGTCGTGAGCATTAAAAATGGGACACCCGATTTTTCCTATTGTAGAACGGGCTCACTAGCTACACCGTCGGCAATGACAGGGATTGTCATATTTGGCAAAAAATCCGTTGTACAGAAAAGAATCATTCACCCAAAAAAGCGAAAAATGACAAGACCTGTCAGTCGGGTGTCCCAATCACTTTTAATGCTCACGACTGTACCTAGCTCACGCGGGCTTTTGCTTTATGCATACTTGATTTTAGCACAGTAGTTGAAGTTGTCAATGGTGGTAGACCATCGATGGCCACGATTTCCACAAACCAGGCCGATAAACAATTCTGTGCAGTAGTGTGTATTATCCACATACTTATACACTAATAATACGTATACCGCTAAAGTGCGACGATCGACCACCGACCAGTGTAACATATAGGAGGTACAGTGACTCTATAACCCACAGTGGCGACAATTGCTGTCTCATTTTTGATTGGTTCTAAAATCGCATATATTTATATTGAAAACACCGCCATCTTGTTCCCAACCCCTTGTTACTTTGAAATATGAATATATGGGATTTAGTTAAACATTCATCATAAATCATGGAAAACAAAGTATTTGATGGACCTAATACTGGTCATCAAATACGTCGATTTCAATTTTTTATGATAGATGTCCATTTAAATCTTATATATAAATATTTAAAAGTAACAAGAGGTTGGGAACAAGATGGCGGCGGGACCTCTATTGTCGCCACTGTATGTAAAGGTTTATTTAGCCACTGTAATAGGAGGCTGCCATTTTGACCTATATTTTTAGCGGGAATTTCAAAAATGACGACTTCCACAAATTCATAAATAACATTGTTATAAATTTTGGTGTCGAGCACCTCAGAATAATGTTTTCAAAATAATTATTACAGTCATCTGTAACTTTTATAGCGAATTTCATTGGAAGAGTTAGTGCGCTCTGAGTGTATTCGTATCTTTTTCTACCAGCTTGTAAAAGAAAGAAATAAAAATACATTTTTTCTGCACTGGTTCTACCAATGGAATTTGCTATATTATTTCATTATTGTCAAAGCATAGGTCAAAATGGCCGATTCTTCTATCTTTTTTTATTCCGATGCGCTGAAAGATGTGCAGTCGTCTTTGAGCGGTATACGGCATTATACGGTAGTATATGTATGTGTTATTATCCTTGCATTCGCAATCTTTCGAAAGGAAAAAGTTCCTCTGTGAAAACGTCAAACACCCCGCATATTTAGGCGTTTTTGGAAACACTTATGCCCGTATGCATCATTGCACAAATTCTCTGATTAAGACTTTAGCCGTGATCACAAAATGTTTTTCATATGCACCAAGCGTTTTTTTCGCCTATTGGCAATTAACTTTAAATTGCTCGATGGCCTGGAATTTAGAACAAGATAACCGCGGCTAGTTAATAAAATCAGGTTGGGTGTTTTGTTTGTTTTGGTTCCGATTTCAAATTTCATATTTAGGTACATTTTACAAACATTTTTGTAAAAAAAAAACTGGAACAAATTTGTGTGAAGTGAGCCAGGAAAAAAAAAGAACTGAAATCAGGAATATGGAGGTGGAGAGACATTATTTGACAATGATTAATTTGGATAATGAAATTGTGTTAGATGGGTTTCCGTTTCCAAGGCGTTGGAATGAGAGGGAAAATTATTTTGAAGCCTTGGATCATAGACAATAAAAAATAAAAAGACCTTCAAAAGTATAGCCGAAATAGGTTATACTATTACTGCGCATCCGGTTGCGCATAGCGCATTGCGGAATTTTTGGAAAGCTAGAGACAAACGAAAGATCAGTCCGATCATTCGATTCTGTTTCATCTTTCTCTGTCATACCAATTCACAAGACAAGGGCACCGTATGAGTTACAGAGCTTTCCTAGCTGTTTTGTAGAAACCTATCAAGCATCCATAACTATAGAAACTGTGACCGAGAAAACAAATAAGTAACCTTAAAATAACGACATTTCCGTGTTGAAATCTGTCATTTTTAACCGATTGGGCGGTCGTCTAAGAAGACTCGAACTCACAAAATCTAAAGAACAAGAAGAAGAAATTGTTATTTTTATTAAGGCACTCGGTATCGCGTACCTATAATATTATGTACAACTAGGATAAACTGAACCAGTAAGTATACATGTTAGTTTTGTGATATACGGCATATTTTTTTACTGTTTTAGGAGACCTCAGTCAGAAGAGATAAAATGTAGATGTTAGGCCTTGGCCAGCTTAGCTTGTACATACATTAAAGCATGTATAAGGGATGTAATAACTGTGTTTGTAAACTCTTTAGGTATTTGACCTATCTAGCTATAATATATATTTTTTCTAGTACAATTTTAGTGTTTATTTTGCCTTTTTTTTTCAATCTACATCAAAAAATGGCACAAAACTTTATGGAGTACCACATCATTTTTCTCATTCGGATTTGAGAAAAAAAGATGTGGAACAACATAAGTAAGTTTTTTGTGCAATCAACTCAAGTCAAATTTCAAAATTCCCGTCATTTCAGTATTTGTTCCGGCTGCCACTATTGACGCCACCGTCGCTGTGACGTCAGCGCTATACAAACTTTCATGTTATCAATCAGGTACTCTTACCTTGGTTTATTATATTTCTCTATGCCTTGGATGATCTGATCTAGGTATAAGCCAATGTCGTAGATCATAGATCTTCTTGAAGAGGTAGAAGATGCCCTATCATTATTATAGGGTGTAGTACTGGTAGTACCTACATTCTATGCAAATTTATGACTTGATTCTTGATTCCAATAACTAGGTAATGACTATGTAATTACTGTTTATTTCAAATAAAATGCCCTACATGCCCTGGGGGCGGATTACGAACTCTCGACTCGAACCGAAACCGCCATGGATTTCGAACGCATTCTGATGCATTTGCATGGAGTGCGTTCAAAATCCATGGCGGCACCTGAAAATGGTGTGTGATGATCCAGACATTTGACCCGATAATTACAAAGTCTTTACTGTAAAATTAAAATTTTATCAAATAATCAAAATTTAATTCCGGTATTTTTAAATCTGTGTCGATAAATTAAAAATAAAACCAATTAACGCAAAACGTATTACGACATCCGGATGTTATCATCTAAATTAAATCGAATGAATTATGACACACGTGTGTCGGCTTTCTTTGTGTTGCCCTCACATTCTTGAACCCAAAACGTCTTGACCTCAATAAATCAGATAATTGCGACATAATTAGTCGATTTTTGGGCTACAAAAATGATTTAATATTCAAGGAAATTGCATCATTCTTTTAATAACAATGAGGCCGTCCAATGAAATTCGGATTCCTAAGTTAACGACCGCCTATATTGACGATTTGGGGGAAATTTAATAATAATTTTGTGGGGAGAGCGATTTGATATAAAACTCGCGGAAGATAGTTCCCAGTTATCTGAAGATAGTTCCCAGTTGATAGTTGCCAGAACATAGTTGAGTCGTCCATTTGAGTTAAAGTCTGTCCAGTTTCGCGAAAAGTTACTTTTATGGCCTATGGCCTCGGGTATAAATTAACTTAGAAAATTTACGAAGAATCGTGAAAGTAATAACATTTTAAATTCGTTCAAATCAATTATGTGCGTGTAGCTAAATATTTTGAGTACTATTACGTGTGTTTTATGGACAAAATGTAAGTACTTTATAGTGACAAGATTTATTTTGATGAACATGACTTTGTGTGAAATTTTACTAGAAAACTTTTGATTTTTAATTTAACGGTGGAACTTTATTACAACGAAATTAATAACTTGAGTGTTTTATGAAGGAAACATTATCGCATAACTTTAATTACCTTCAGATATAATGACATTTAAATGTGCAACAAAAATATGAAGAGTACTTACAATGCATTTAACAATATTCAATTTTGAGTTGGAAATTATGAATTAAACAGT